ATAATTCTTCAAGGTCAAACCAATGGTACCATCTTATGTCCCCCTCGAAACCATACAACTTTTGTCTGAAACATTTTTTCATATCTCTTTTAGTTTTTTAAAAAATCGACTGTATAAATTAAAATGGCCCACCCTGTATATAGAATTACTACAATTTTAACATAGGTCCTTTAAGATATAAATCAATTAGAAATTAAAGAGGTCGTTTTTAGGACCGGGCATAGGTGTAAGTAGCCAGTTAAATTAAATTATTTAAGTGAATTCATATACCGTATTCTTTTCCAACTTATCCTGTGCGCCAGTTACATACTAGTCTTAAAACACAGGTTAATCCCCGTAAGTGGAAGTGTTATCGTCAGTGAATATATATATATGAATTCACTTAAATAATTTAATTTAACTGGCTACTTACACCTATGCCCGGTCCTAAAAACGGCCTCTTTAATTTCTAATTGATTTATATATAGAATTATTTGCACTTATTTTTATAAAATTCTTATCATTTTTTACATACATATATGTATATATTGTATATATTATCATTTTAATATATGTATATATTTTTTCTATAAATTTGAATTCATTTTTATTTGGGCAACCAACCTCCTTAAGTGCCAGGAAAACTAGAGCTAACGTTCAATAATATGGCTGCAACGATGAGCATGGTGAATGTTTTCACCGAGGTATTTTGACAATGGAAAAGAGACTGCCATTTAACCGTAGCCAGGGAAATTTCGGAAGTGACCACAAGCGATAGAAATTAAATCGTAAACAACTTACATAAATTGACAATATTTGTTGAAGAACGCGTTACTTTTTAGTCGATAAATACGAGATAGTTTTCGGAAAATAATTTAGTTTATGTTATCTTTAAAATACCTTAATATACATACTTTTTATTATTATGTATAATTTGTATTTCCCGAACTAAAACTGAGTGTTTTTTTCATGTTCACATTTGGTTCGTTTACACGTAAATAAATGAACAAAAATTGAAAGATAAAGCGGGATACAAAGTTTTCGGTAAAAAATGTTTATCGGTACAATTCTTTTCGTTATAATTGCACTCGTGAATGAATTATTCAGCATAAAAGAAATAAAAGTGTAAAAATTGTTTCATGCACTTGTACATACGTGTGCATTAACTTGGTGAACATTTGTTTCAGATGGTGTCATCTAATCAGCCGGTAAGATGATAATAAACAATTATGTATTCTTCGTAGTTATTATCTTTTTGTACCATCTCGTTGAGGAATAGAAGATTAGGGTCTCAAATCCTCTCATTTTGTTACGTATTATAATAACAGTTTAATTAGTTGATTGGCATTAATGATATGCTCAGTGTACATATTTTACATTATTGTAGCTTCGTACATTTTGTAAAATTTCGTTTCAACACGACTGAGCGATAGTAAAAATCTCGAACAGACACCATACTTTCGATTATAACAAGTACGTATGGTCGGATTCTGAGATACAAGTCTCACATTTTTAAATCACACTTGGTTTGTTCACGCAGTCTTGTTTCGTTTATAAATTTGCGTTAGCGTCCACAATTCTCGACTTTCGGCGGTAATGTGCGTTGCGCATAATTGCCATACTTCGCTTTTCGTAGAGGAAGACGAAAATATTCGTCGGCCGGCTGCCGGAGAATTGTCGCAACGACGAGCTGCGACAATTGTTCCTGCGCTTCGGCGAGGTGACCGAGTGCGATGTGATGAATCGATACGGCTTCGTCCACATGGCACGAGAGGAAGACGCGGCGGCGGCGATCAAGGCGCTCCACAATTCCAACTTCAAGGGGGCGACGATCAACGTGGAACAATCGACTGGAAAGTCACGCGGAGGCGGAGGAGGTCGCCGGGACGACCGAAGAGGTGGACCAATGAGAGGTGGTAGGGGGGGACGAGACGGTGGTAGAGACGCTCGTCCTGGACCATACAATGATAGAAGAGGTTAGTATTGTTTACGCCTCAGTATCATAAATTCCGACAAGACTATTTTCTCATTTAGTTTTTCTCGAGTGTCTATATCGCCTCCTCCCCCCCCCCCCCGCACGTGTACGCGTTTGCGTTACACTCGTAGCGTTATCGTCGTTAATACTTTATTGGTGTCTCATATTTTGTTTTTATTTTGTTCTCTCCTGCTCAGCGAACTGTATACTACGCTGGAAGACCTATCCTCTTGAAGAGGATTAACAGAGTGAGGCAGACAAATGGCTCCAATTACAGTCTCTTTCTAGTAATTCTGCCCACACAGCACAGAAAGATTGCAGGAAGATTGCAGAAATGTTACATTGCAAGAATGCAATATTGCAGCAACGTTGCGCAACATTGCTGCAACGTTTCTGAAGGATTGCAGCAACGTTGAAATGTCCGCCCTCAGAGAGATTGCAGTGCAATATTTTTGGAATAATTTGTTGTTATACATAAGCAGAGAATTTATTAATTACACATACATCCGGGTCTTTTTCAATGCATAGCAAGCTATTGCGAAGCAACCTAAGGAGGTTATGTCGCTTCGCAATAGATGGAGATTGCGAGCAACACCACACTGATCAAGTACTTAATAATTCGCGCATTATTGGTATCAACGAAAATAACATTATAAAATTCTCGCAATTAGAAAATTTTTTAAATAGAAAATATAGTATTTTCATTATTCTTGAAACATTGCTGCAATATTGCTATTGAAAGTTTGCAAAGTTTTTATATCCCTGCAATGTCTTTGCAAGATTGCACTGCAATGTGCAAGATTGCAACGTTTCTGCAATGTTACTGCAACCATCTGTGCTGTATGGGTGATTGGCCAACTATTTTCTATCTTACTATACACAGGGTGTTCTGTAGTTTTCTATGATTATGTTTACAAGGCACCATAACTGGGTATAATAACATCCGTAATTAAGGGGCTGGCCAATCACAGTCATTCCATTCTTCTGAGGAATAGTTGTGATTGGCCAGTTCTATAACTACAGATGTTATTAAAGCCGATTAAGGGTGACGCGTAAACGTAGTCTGTGAATATCATCTTGGGAAGGTAAAACAGATTGAAATGAACAAAAAAGTTGGACGCCGTATTGCAATATTTGTAATAATAAATTAGATATTTAATATTAAAGTCGGGTAAATAAGAGCGTGCCGAGACGGCACGGGGAAAGTGCTCAAGCCGCTCGTTTGGTAGCGGTTTCGATTGCAGTGCCGCTTAATGCAGCCTCAGCACTTCCCCATACAGTACAGATGGTTGCAGTTACATTGCAGAAACGTTGCAATTTTGCAGAGACATTGCAGGGATATAAAATTGCAAACTTTCGATAGCAATATTGCAGCAATGTTTCAAAAATAATAAAAATACTATATTTTCTATTTAAAAAATTTTTCTAATTACGAGAATTTTATAATGTTATTTTTGTTGATACCAATAATGCGCGAATTATTAAGTACTTGATCGGTGCGGTGTTGCTCGCAATCTCCATCTATTGCGAAGCGACATAATCTCCTTAGGTTGCTTCGCAATAGCTTGCTGTGTATTGAAAAAGGCCCGGATGCATATGTAATTAGTAAATTCTCTGTTTATGTACAACAGCAACAAATTATTCCAAAAAGATTGCACTGCAACATTGCTATAATGTTGCACTGCAATCTTTCCGAGGGCGGACATTTCAACGTTGCTGCAATATTGCAATCTTGCAATGTAACATTTCTGCAATCTTCCTGCAATCTTTCTGTGCTGTGTGGGTCTGTCCAGTCAAATATTTGTAAGCAAGCGTTCGCCGCTTACGTGCGCTTAGCTAAGCAGAGGTTTGGCAAAACACAGCCATAGTACGGCACACTCTATCTAGACCTGTGCCTACGATGCTAGAATTTGGTCCAAGTTCTAGTCCCGAGAAATATGTAGCCACTCAACTTGGAGCTATTCCGTAAGAGCTGCAAGTTGATTGGCTACCCATTTCTCGAAACTTGGACCAAGTTCTAGCATCGTCGAAGCAGGCCTTAGTATCGGCTGGCGGTGCACGGCGAGGAGATAGCGTGGTGTCGCCCGTGTGACGCGACGTCGCCGCTTCCACTCCTCGCCGCACGCCGTCTCTGTGTTTACTCTTACACGCCGGCTCTTATTTACTCGATTTTAATATTCAATATCTAAATTGTTATTGCAAATATTGTAATATGTTCTCATTCTGTCCATCTTCTTCAAGAGGGCAGTAGGTCTTCCAGTATGGTATAGAGTTCACTGTCTCTGTTCTACATTAATGAATAGAAACGGGGAATTTGCCTTAAAAGTCATTTTGGTGATCTCTGATAATATGACGTTGAGCCACTTGAGAAAATAGTATGTTGGAATGAAAAGAATGACATAATACTTTGACACAATGTATTATAACACACTAAAAAACCAATTCTATATCTCGGCGTGCTTTGCAGTTCTTCCGATCCAACTCGTTGGTTACGATGGATCTGCTGCAGGTGGCGTCGCAACCGGGTACACCGATTACAATCGCGGGGCTGGCGACTTTAGCGGCCGTGGGGCGGACTTCGGCGCGGGCTATGCTGATCGCGGGGCTTACGGTCAGAACGTGGGTGGTGCGGCGATGGGTTACACCTCGACGGCACCGGGGATGGGCGGTGGATACGGCCCGGCTGCCGGCGCCGTAGGAGGATACGGGCCGACCGGCGCGACGGACTATGGGCGAACGGCTGACTACGGCCGCGCCGACTTCGGTGCTCGAACAGATTATGGTAATCGTGGTGTTTGGTGTTTGTGCAGCTTCTAAAGTATGTGACTTTGTCCCTCTTTGAGCGAGATATCGAGCATCGTACCGGAGTCGCACTGTTAGCATATTATTCCTTCTTTATTTGGTGAAATGGAGTTTGCTAGGCAATATCGAGTGTGGGCCTGGATAGCTCAGTAAGAAGAGCAGCTGTAGATTAACACATAAACTGGAGGAGGAATATTTCCCTAGCTACCTGAGACGTTATAAATATAGATGTTCTTGGCTTTAGAGATAAAAGATCGTTTTCGGTTCGTTTGACTTGCATTTTGTGCTATAATCATTTTGAAGAGATAATTAGAGAGTCTTTAAAATGTTCAGTTGTACTTTTATACATTTCACCTGATACGTACTGCAGTCAGTATTTGTACTTTTTTGTTTGACACACGCGTATTTATTTAGTTCATCCAGCTTTTAATTTCTCGCGATAAGACCTCTATGAGAAAGGAACGCACAAACTTTTTAAGTGACATAAACACAAGACGCCGATGTAATCCAGAATCTTAATACTTGTGTTGTTTACAGTAGTTGGCGGTGGCATGGCTGGAGATTTCAATCGTGGCGCTCCTGGCCCAGTAGATTACGGTCGTACTGATAATTTTGGTGCCAGTCGCACGGTTGATTATACAGCAAGAAACGATTATGACCGAAGTGCGGCTGGACCGATGAGAAACGGTGGTGGCGCTGTTGCCACTACTGGGTATGGAACTGGGTACACTGATGTGGGATATGATGAGAGTCACTGGTAATGTAGCTACTATAATTTTTTGGCTCCTTTCTCAAATCTATGAGATCGTATTTTCAATTTTATTACATTTTAAATCTTCCGCTAAGTTGTCTCTCAAATCGAAGAACGCGGCGAGTGCTACAAGCTGAGAACAATTTCTGAGAACCATTCTTTTATTAAAAAAAACGTCGAATTGTGCGAACACTTTCTCTTTTGGTTTGAGAGGGCAGCTTGAGCTATATTAGTCAGTTTTCAATTGTAAAATTTGTATACGACATTCAATTATACATTCAATTAGATAATTTATATATACAAGGTGTTAAATTTGTTTGTGACCATTCCAAAAATTATGGTATATAACTTTTCTTCTCACAATCAGTTTGATCCAATCTACCATAATTTTTGGAACGGTCACAAACGAATTTGACACCCTGTATACAATCTTGGAGATTTAATATAATGTAGTCACTTTATTTTTTATTCATGAAAAACATTTTTCACGTATATCATGAATTTTGTGTTTACACAATATTAAGTTTCTTAGATAAATATGACTTAGATTTAATTAAATTTAGGACTAATTCAAGTACGGTAAAATGTAGATTTAATACTAGCACCTCTTATTAATAGACGCATATTTAAAAAATTCAAGATATAATTATATATGTATATATTAATTTTTTTAAATAATTTTGAACAAGTATTTTTCATCGTACAGCGCTATTATTGAATATAGCAATTTTAGAAATCATCTACAATCTACATTATACTGTACAATCTTATGTTAACTTTTTTTCATTAGAACAGCTCATTGTCAGTACACACACGTACACATGTGAGAAAATCTTTTCTATTTACGTCGAAGATTATTTCTTACTATACAAGGTGGTTAATTTAAGTGTGGACATGGAAATATCTCGAAAACTGTGCATCGGATCAAAAAAATGGTCGGAGTAAAAGTTGTTTGTCTCGTAGGTGCCTATCCGTTGGAACCAAAATTGAATCCCCACCCTCACCCCCTGAGGGGGGAGGGGTAACTTTGAAATCTTCAATGGAAACCCCCTTTTTTTAACTGCAGATTTGGATTCTCCAGAAAAAAATATATTAAATAGGCTCAGGATTTGTACCATTTTCTTCAACAGATGGCGCTACAATCGATAAAAACCGAAAAGGGCGATTTAAGTGTAGACATGGAAATATCTTGAAAACTATATGCATCGGATCAAAAAAATAGTTGGAGTAAATACTGCTACGTCCACGTCGTTGTTCCTGGGTTATGCTGAATGCAATTTCTTCAAAAAAATTCAACATGCCTGACTTCCGTTTTTCATCAAGTGCATGTCGTGCACTTTCCGTAAAATTTAATTTCTGTAATTACAACTCCATGTGTCGCGTCTCGTAAAAGAATTTCGATAACAACTTTCATTCGTTACTATGGAATAATGGGAATCTGCTGTAAAAAAATAGGGGTTTTCATTGAAGATTTCAAAGTTACCTCTCCCCCCTCAGCGAGTGGGGGTGGGGATCCATTTTGGTTCCAATGGATAGGCCCCTTCGAGACAAACAACTTTTACTTCGACCATTTTTTTGATCCGATGCATAGTTTTCGAGATATTATCATGTCCACACTTAAATTGACCACCCTGTATATAAAGTTTGAAGTCGGCACTGAAACGAGCCAATTTTTTAATTATAAATTATACGTGTAAGTTCAAATCGTGCAATTTTCAGTGTAGACAATCAAACTTCCTATTTTTAAGAATCTAGGCTAAATTTGATCATCGAGAGATAATTTATTCAGATTTCTGATTTCACACAATTTTATTCAGTTTACTAATACCATACTGTTCCGTACAATATACTATATTTTGTACCCGCGTGCGTGTGCGTGTGAAAAGAATGGGACCTTTATATTATTTCCAGAAGTACACACTTTTACGGAAAATAACCCGAATAAAAGTTGTAGGGGTCATAAGTTACTATTTTTTGCTAATCTTGAACTCGAGGGGGAAACCGTTGACCAAAATCTTGTAGGCCCGGTCTACAATGAGTCGTTAGTCGTTAGTCAGAAGTCGGAACTATATGTCGGTCCTTTTTCTTCTACCCAGAAAGGAAAAGGATCAACATATAGTTGCGACTTCTGACTAACGACTAACGACTCATTGTAGACCGGGCTGTACACCAATGCCCACTAATGCCTAGTGGGCATTACTTTATCTTATTATCTTATTTTTATAATGCCCCAGCAAGACCTAATGCCCAAAAATGCCTAATAATGCCTAGTAATTCCCAGTAATGCCGCAAATCTGTACACCACAATGCCCTCAGCGGTTTCCCCCTCGCTTCAACTTGACCTCGAGGGTCATTTAAAGGTAAACTTTGATTTTTAAATAGACCCCCTTTTTAGGGGTCACTTTGACCACTGATACGACAACGTGTCTGAACTAAACATAAAATTGTTTGCCCTTTTTAAATCCGGAATCAAAAAGGGAGGTTCCCATTTAAAAAAATCAAAGTTGACCTTCAAATGACCCTCAAGGCCAATTTCAAAGTCACCAAACGATAGTACTTCACGACTCCTACAACGTATTCGGGTCATTTTCCGTGAAAGTGTGTACTTTGGAGATAATAGGGGGGTCCTATTCTTTTCGAATACCCTGTATGTTAACGAGTAATACGAAGTAAACATATTAAACGGTGGCGTCCAAAATAGAATAAAGAATAAGTTAACGGAATGAAATTGTGTACAACAACAGGGGATATAATGGGTGGGTCTGGGAGGGGAGTAAATCAGAGAGTTACAATGGTCTACGAGAGGAGGGACGGTCCTCCCAGTAATTATATGCCTCCATTTGACAGGCCGATGAGCACTGGACCTAGCTATAGCACAGGAGCACCTAGTTACAGCACTGGTCCAGGACCGCAAGCTGATATGTTTAGTAGAAGACCCGGCAGTGCTGTGCCCAGTGGTGGATATCCACCGGTTGCCGGCGGGTAAGTAATAAACCATAATAAGGAGTGTCTACTACTGGGAAAACCTGGAATTCTCAGGGAATTCTTTTTTACCTGGAAAGCAGGGGATTTTTGTTGAAATTGTCTCTTTATTTTGTATTTCTTGAATAATCGAGAATTATCCAAACGACCAAGTTACTAACAAAGTGACAGAAAACTTATAAATGTGTTTAAGAGCGGTAATCAATGCTCCAAGCACCATTCCATTTTTAATTTTATTTTCTTGTATTTCTTTGAAATAAGAATCTAAATTATATAAAATGTCTGCTTTGTGAGAGCCAAGTTTGTTTTATTTCAACATTTTTGCTACTTTTGGTTTTCTCTTTATGGTTGTGTAAATATTGGATGCACACTGTGAATGTGATAAGAATAACCCTATACAATATTTAAATTTATTTTAAATCTGCATAAAACTGAAAAGACTTATAATTTTGCCTGGAAGTTTCAACCAAAATCCTTGAAAAATCAGGCGAATTCTCGAGGAATTTTTTTTCGAGAAATGAGCCCAGCAAACACAACATAGCTATTATGTAAGAAAGAGATAACAGATGTTATATGGTAAGTATATGTCAATAATATAACAGATGTTATACGGTAGTTATGTGTATGTTGTATAACTTTTCTTTCTTTATATTAAAAAAGTGAGCTTATTGTCAACCCAAGTGGCAAATTTTATTGAATTGATTATCTGTCTCTTCTTAGATAACAAAATAGAAAAATATAGGACGTTGACTGAACTCTGGTTAACCAACGTTTGTGAAATTGATCCTAAGCACGGTCTTACATACAGGTCTTGCAACTCATATGGTGGGGGTAGGTCGAATTTTTAAGCCAAAAATCGTTCGTCTCTTGGCCACGAGGGTCGCTGCGATACTGTAGTACAGCGGTAGTAGGACAGACACAGATATAGAAATCACGGTTTCTATATCTGTGTCTCTGTCCTACTACCGCTGCACTACAGTATCGCAGCGACCCTCGTGGCCAAGAGACGAACGATTTTTGGCTTAAAAATTCGACCTACCCCCACCACTAAAATTTGGCTGACAATGAGTTCAAGGACCTGTATGTAAGACCGTGGTCCTAAGTGATTTTTTGTAGCTATTATATCACTGTGTTATATACTAGTAATATAACAAGAGTTATGTTAATGTTATTGAAATAGATATATAAGATATATTATATATTATATAATTATATTATACAGGGTGAGGAAAAAGTATGGAAACTCCTAAATTTTTCGAAAACTATGCATTTTAGAAACAAATGTTTGAGACAAAAGTTGTATGGTTTCAAGGGGGACATAAGATGGTATCATTGGTTTGATCTTGGATAGTCGTTCGAAGGTTACATGAGGGTCGTCTTGAATTTTTTAAACGAAAACCTCCATTTCTTATTATATCATCCTTTTCTATTAATTAATTGGAACAACTTTCGTCTGAAACATTTTTTATTTGTCTAATAATTTTTTAAGATATTCAAAGAAAACTTGGCAACTTTTTCAAAATTCATCATACGATATCTCGATAACTGTTTATCGTGAGGAAAAATGATACAGGATTTTTTTACTTGATTTGGTGTCAAGAATATGCTGTTGCAATAGTACTTCAATTTTTATAAACATTTGCGTATACATGAAAACTCCGAGGAGATGTGTACACAAATGTTCACCAAAGTTGGAGTACTATTGCAACAGCATATTCTTGACACCAAATCAAGTCAAAAAGTCATGTATCATTTTGCCTCACGATAAACAGTTATCGAGATATCGTATGATGATTATTGAGAAAGTTGCCAAGTTTTCTTTGAATATCTCGAAAATTATTAGACAAATAAAAAATGTTTCGGACACAAGTTGTTCCAATTAATTAATAGAAAAAAAGATGATATAATAAAAATGCAGGTTTTCATTCAAAAAATTCAAGATTACCTTCATGTAACCTTCAAACGACTATCCAAGGTCAAACCAATGATACCATCTTATGTCCCCCTTGAAACCATACAACTTTTGTCTCAAACATTTGTTTCTAAAATGCATAGTTTTCGAAAACTTTAGGGGTTTCCATACTTTTGCCTCACCCTGTATAGAAATATTATATAAATTTGTACATACACGGTACCTACTTTTACCGGCTTATTCATTCGAAAGTAGCGTAAAGCCTTGTAAAAAGGAGCCAAAACGTTAGCAATCGGAGTTCAACTAATTCCAGCGAGAAATGCCTTGTCGATCGATGTTGAAACGATATCAAGTCGACATTGAATCGTCGAAAGTAACGTCGATTTCATTTCGCGATGTAATCGTAATGTAATAGTAATATTTAAAATAACTTAAATTATATAACAACAATTATTTCAACGACTTTTATAACTGCTGTATAACAGTTATATTACTACGTTACATGTAACGCGTACGTTATATTACTTGTTACCTCCGTTTTATTATGACAATGTAACAGTTATGTATCTGTGTTTGCTGGGAGTAGAAACCTCTAAAAGGGAAATCTCTGTCTTGTCGCTTCACACGACTAACGATATCTTATCCATTACGTTGCAGTTACGCTGAGGGATATGACAGACCAGACGCGTATGGTCCCCCACGTGGCGGTGGCCGGTAAGTTGCACTTCATTAACGTATCTTGTACACTGATTTTGTTTCATTGACAAAACTGCGACCTATGAACAATAACACGGTGACGTTTGAGAAGCGAAGGAAATCCTTATTGCGTACGCTTGTCAATCTGGCGTCTTTACTCTTCCTTTGCGCTACATAAGCCTTCCTCGTTCTTGCCTCGATTGTATGTATAATACACAGATGCAATTTCTACATGCGGATTCTCGATGCAGGTTGAATATTTCTGTAAAAGTATAAGGTGTGACACTTAGCGCGACACTCGGCTGCACACGGAGGCGTGTTCATTCTTACCGGGTTACGGTGCTGCTCCTGCGTATACGAGTCGTTACTTCTATCCGGTATACGCGTAGGGAGCCGACGTTTTTATCTTATGAGTGTAAAAAAGAACAGAGGCTGATAATCACTCCACGGCTGAAAGTCCTGCGGATCTAACGATCGCATATGTATTTCTAACTCATGCGTTATATATGAAATTTTTCAGAGCGAGTATCCGACGTGTATCCTACAAGTTACATTCATTTCACAAGAAAACTCGGATATTCCCGTTGAAAGCCCTAATTTTCACAAAGAGATAGCCGTAAGAGGAAAAGATAAATTATTGTTTTATGATTTTAGGAGTCTCCTGCAGAATTGCGAACCTTTTATATTCTTTACGTAATTATGCAGCATGCGATTTGAAACGATTCGAGGACTTGTTGATCATCGCGACGGTATATTTATGATACACACGCCTCTCTTCTTTTACGTACTCCGCGATGAAACTTCTCGAGCACGAGCATCCGTCCAAGACGCGCCATGCGATCAGCCTGCGGCAAATCCCGTAATGGCGAGATGCGCTCGGAGAGGCGGGAATTTCTCCCGCGAACACGAGAAAAGCAAAGTAATATCTCCGATTACGCGGCTGGCTTCTGCGAACGATTCCCTGCAGCGCAGAGGATGCTCCGCGAAAGTTTCCGGAGACGCTTCTCGTGGAAGAATCTTCGACCTCGCGCACCTCCCGCACATTCGCCGCGCGTACAAAACTGACCGCCGCGAACGTACCGCTACCGCGCCTCTGCGTATCGCAAAATTGCAGCCTGCGAAGCTACAAATGCACATCTCTTTCACACTCGCTCTCTCTCCCGCCCTCTAAAGAATTTTCTGAGACGCGACCGGAGACGCTTTCCCGATTCGAAAGACGCTTCGTTCCGAAAAGCTAGAAAAGAAATGCGTTGCGTCGTAAGCCACTGCGCCCAGCGGCAAATATCCGACCGAGGTCTTTCGACAACCGTGAGACTCGAGACTCTTCTGTTTTCCACCGAGTTCGAATCAGTTTTTCAAATGTACTTGCGCCGGTGCATGGAGAAACAAGTGCACAATTGCGGCATATCGACCAGTTTCTTACATGTATGACAGTTAGCCAGAACTGGGTGGGAGTTTTGCTCTCATCAGCCGTTTCAAGCTCTACGATTGTATAATTACGTTGTCCCAGGTTTACACAAATTGGACCTGTTTTGGAGATTTTGTACACAGTATGCCACGATGCGCCGAGCGATTGCGATGTACGTGCTTTTTGTAAAAGAATTTCGAAAACGAAAGTCTGGTTCTCCTGAACGTCAGCCGAAAGGATAGATTTAGCCAATGTACAGATGAACAGACTCGGTCATAACAACGATGGAACAAAACGCCCAGATCTGGTAGCTGTGTTTCACGACAAATCTACGTTATATGCGCTGCGACGTGGCACCAAAAAAAAATAAAACGTCCGCAAGTTTCCTTTAACACCACACCGCCGTCAATCGGAATTGCAACCTCCATCCCGCATCTGGACGCGTCCCGTGATGATCGCGCACGCCAGTGTTACATCTTATACTTTCCTCTTGCTCCTTGCACAGCAAGGCGTTCACGTAATTAATTTTGCGATTTTTCATTTTTCTGACCTTTTAGCTTCCCAGGTCCGGCAGACGCGATGCCACCGAGGTACTAAAAGTGTACTAAGCGCGCTAGCGCATGCGAAAGGCGACCGAAAAACGAAAAAAAAAATAAAAAAATAAATTGTGAACGAAAGTTCACCGCCTTTTAGCAGCGAACACTCGCTTATCGGACTCGATTACCTAGGAATTGCCCACTGCGTTCGCCATTGAAAGAGTCCACGATTACTATAACGAACACTATATAACAATAGAACTTAATATCGTTTAATTGTATCGTATAATGGTAAGGATAAGATTATTAACAGATGATATACAAACATTTAATTGAATTTAAGGTCAGTTTTTTTTTTAAATACATCATGGATCAATTTATAAATTGATCGATTAATCAATTTATTATTGGTAAATTCGCTATCGTTAGCCTATTATATATGTTTGAAGAGATTTTTCGGAATTACACTTTTCGTGCAGTTTGCTTTGAATTTTTTCCCCTCTCACTGTCTTTTTTCTATACCGAACAGATAAAGCCCGATGATTGTCTAGCATGGGTATATTTTCCGCAACTTAATTGTCTTAACACCCATGTTCGTGTAGATTTGATTTTGTTGTATCTTATAACGTTAATTCTACGAAAGGTGACTTATGCTACAATAATACTGCTGTATAATCTTTTTTTTACACATAAGAACTTGAATAATATTTCCAAATGTTCATTTATAAGGCAGAGAATGGATAGCAGTTATCACAATGTACCTTTATATAAAATGAATAAAGTGCAAATGTGAATGCCCTAAAGTAATCTTTACGAAGAAGTCTATAATAATGTAATATATACTTTATCGCTTCTTCTTGCAGTCTTTTTATGCGAGATAAAATCGCCACTAAGTTTACTTATTTACTAATTGCCAACGTATGTCGCTATACAATTAGAATGTTATTTCATCGAGTAATATTTTCAATTTTATCTTAATTTTTCTCTCTGTCTCATCTTTTTACATTACTTTTATTATGAGCGTCAAAGTATAATCTTTGCTTTGACATTACGTAACGCTGATTCAGTTACTTCGTAGAAGAAACCGTCAAGTTACAGCACGACATCGACATCGGGTATAGAGTATTAGTTGTCCATCTAATGCATCAACTTGTGTCATTCGTAGGAGCGAGCAGAGCAAGCCAATTAGTAATAATCAGCGTGCGTGCAACTGTTATTTAATGTCAATTCTTAATTCGACGACGTTCTGCATTGTAATCTTGAGCCACTTCTAGGATTAGTCGAACCATACGCGAGAATGATTATATCTTTTTGTGCAAAGTATTCAACGATCTTCACATGGTGTGAGAATCCGTTTAGCAGCCTAGTTTACACCAATCGTTTGGCATGCGTATTAAATAGTAAGTAACTAGTAAATTGATTCATTTATTGGCCGAGTAACTTAAATGTATTACTTGACACGCACGCCAGAGGATCGGGATAAATTAGATTAATAGCTTGAAACGTGGGAAACGTCGAGAGATGCGTTGGGTGATTGTAGGAGCACAAAGAATTCGATGACAATGCAAAACGTCAAGTCAATCTCCAGCTTGGTGCAGTTTACTTAGTTAGGCCTGTACTGAAACGCCGATTTGTGAACGTGCGGTGAACGCGTTGCCGAACACGTTATCCTGGTGGCGGCGGGCGGCATGTCGACCTGTGCGATTATTGAAGAAACCGATTACAACGATTACTCTCGCTATGCGTGGCTACCCGTAGATGCGGCGATCGGCGAATAAAGCAACCTGCGATATGTGGATAATGCGCCACAAATTGCGTTTGCGCTCAAAGCTGGCGTGCTTTGAATTTAACCAGGAAAAGGTATGTTCAACGCGTGCGAACCTTTATACTTTATCTGTTGAGACAAATCCAAGAGCGCCTATCTCTCCGGGGAGGGGGGGGGGGCGGGTCCTACCAACCTATATCACACCTTATATCACTGTTCCACAAGTGCGAATGGAGAATGTCCGGTCGAACAAAAACGTGCTGTTAAACGAGAAAAGAAAAGAACCGTCGAAGCGCGTCTTAAGGAGATCGGCCGCATTTTCTTCTTGATGATCTCTCAGCGTGTTGCGCATTGCGACAAGAAGTGCATCAATTCTAATTCCATCTCTGTCCATGTGCACTCCGCGAAGCAACTCTCGTTAAGATGCAACTAATGTAACTGTTCACTTAGGCCGGTATTCATAATCGATTCTTATTTCAAAATCATCTCAAGTGTTGTCTTAAGAGGCCACTACGGCTCTGTGATCGATGAAAAACACATTAAGTGTATACTTAAGATGATCTTAAATATAAGAACGGTCTATGAATACCGGCCTTAGACCTCTATCAGTATTAAAGCGGATCTACATTGTTTCCCTCGCTTAAATGTCTCTCATTCCTTTCTTTTCTTTCACTTGCTTTTCGGGGAATGTATTTCTTATTGCTACAGACACATCTGATGGCCATACAAACGATATTTCTATACAACTTGATGAATTCAAAATTACACGAGATTAATATCTCTGACTAATATGGTCATATTAGTCAGTGTTCTTTTTGTGTTTGGACTAGTCTACGTATATGTATAAATATCAAATTGTCGGTACAATACAAAATAGCACAATTCTTCCAACAGATTAAAAAAATGGGTTAATATATTGTACCTCACAACACGTTGAAGCCTGTCGTGATTCCCGTTAAATTAACTGCGTTTATCGGTATTTCATGAGATGGAATTAGAGTGCGAGGTAAAACCGAATGCGATGCGTGAATTGAAAAGAACGCATACTGGTTAATTTTTGCTATCGTAATTTGCGAATCGTTCGTTTTAATATCGTTATCGCCGCCGAATCTCGTTCCGCAGATTAAATTTTAAAATTCCGCTCGTACCTCGTGATGAGACTAAGCGCCACGTTGTACGACACGCTATCATGTTCCCCGGAACAGCTTGTATCTTGATGTTAATGGAAGAAAGTCGTAGAAAATTTTCTCAAATTGTCGACCTGTACAGCGCTCCTATTAACTACTTAATCGAGATACATTATGTCTCTTGTTATACCTCCCAAAAGTGCACTCTCTCATTTTATGAAATCTCTGTCAAATACAAGATATATGTATACTCTATTTCATATCGCACTCGAGCTCAATCTTGTAAGTTAGTGGAATCGTAAAAAGTCATACACAATTCGTGCAAAGAGGGTGAAGTAACGTGTAACGGCTACTTCACCGATTGCCAATAATTTCTCCGATTTCATCGATTTTATCTGGCGTTCATGCAAATATACGATAAGCTAGCTTCATATTCGTTAAGCCCACATTTCAGTGGGATGCCTTGAGTATGTTCCATATAATAAGATAATTTTTTTAATAGATTACAAACCGGATGAGGACAAACCGATGGACATTGAGATGAACTCAATGGGAACCGCTAATTATCCCCAGGAGCATTCACTGTCAGTGAACTCGTTTGCTCGTTCGGGAGACGAGAGTTTGAAGACGGATAATAATGCCTGGCTGCTTGTAACGAGAAATAAGAAATCACACAGGAAGTAAAGTACGGGATTGCTATCGATTATTGTGCATTCTCATGTATAAATGTATAAATTGCGTTGTTATCCATAACCATCGATAACAATATAATGTCACAAGGTAATTTTTTAACAATAATAAAACTTTATGGCGATACGTAGTGGCTCTTTTATTTTCAATTCCATCTTTAAGCTTAAGCCAAACGTAATGGAAACGTTTACTTAACCATTTATGGTTCCTTAATTCATAGTATTCTGTTTGGTTCCTGTTTTTTTTCCTGATACAAAATATATGTACAACAAAGAAAGATGAGAAATGAGTCTGAATATTTTTGTATATGATTTTTATTAAAAATATAAATATCTACTAAGATACATATATTAAATATAAAACTAGGATATATCGTTTTTCATATTTTTTTCTCGTTTTTAAATTAAAAACTGATAAACAGTGACATCGTTAGCGTGTAAAATATAAAAAATTCATTTTTTCTATCATCTTTCTGTAATAAAATTAACGCCAGACTGTGATTTGTGGACAGTTTGTTAGCTTTAAGGATAAACTACTAAATATACATAAATAACAATGTAAATTTATAGAACCTGAACAAAGCTAATAATTTGTCTATAACGTATACTCAAACCACAATGTAGTACAATAAAAGAATCTGAATTCTTAATAATTAATTTCAGTTATTGCTTTAGCACGATGTATGATGCAAGTACACTATTTTTCTTTTCCATATCGAAGTTAAAATATAATGTGCAGACAAGACTTGTAGCCCATTACTTCGCTGTTTTCTGTTAATAATAAAATATAAATTTCTTGACCGATAAAATATTAGTATTTCATCACATTTGTAGCATAAACATATATTGCATATTTTATGAAATCAAAGTACTTATTTTACATCAAAATATCTTCATCTATAGTCTTTAAGCACTAAAACAGAGTCAATATATATCAAATTCGCCACATAGCACCGAGTATAACATCTGAGCGTTATTTTCTGGTTATATATAACCATATATGGTTGATTTCAATCTTATCACGACAAATTAGGTTCTGGTCCAACACCGCCCGCAAACCTGTACACGAGAGAGGCTACTCCTACGGCTAGTTTTTCAACGTCCGATGAATTTTCACATTCTGCATAAACTCGCACGATATCTTCAGTTCCAGAGGGCCTGAAAAGAGAATCTATTAATTTACTGAATTTACTTGATCGTAGTAGTTTTTATATGTACATTTAAGTTCTTTCTTTCAATAAGCTTCTGAGAAACGAAAGATGTTTCAGTTTTGTATTTCAAGATACAAAGATGTGTATATATTTATATATGAAGGAAAGTCCTCTATTATGAGATAAGATTCTAATATGAGAGCAGGTTTTCAACGTCCAAATTCAAATATTTTTTCGTAACGATTATACGATCTAACAATCAATTTTCCCCAAACAAATTCACTCCAAGGGCAATAAATTAATAATGGAACCAACAGATGATGCCTATTTGTTTAGCAGAAACTCCGCTATCTCATAATAGGGGACTTTATATATACAGGGTGTCCTGAAATTCGCGAATCAAAATACCATAGCAAGAAAGTCGTCGAAAAAATAAATTATGAAGTTATTTGCCATTTTTCGTTTCGAGCAGTAGTTTTTGAGGTAAAAAGTTGCAAAACAGGCAAATCATACATTACGGTTGAACGGAAACCTGTCCGTGAGTTAATATATACAGGGTGAAGAAAAAGTATGGAAACCCTGAAAAATCTAAAAAAAATATAAGTTTTACAGAAAAATGTTTCAGAAAAGTTGTACGGTTTTAAAAGGGCTATACAGGGTGTACCTAAACTGGCGATAAATATTTTAATGACAAGTACTTGTAACATTTTGAGACGAAAATTCTAATACGAAAAAGTCGAGGCTATAATAGTTTTCAAATGGGAACAATTTAAACATCTCGAATAGCAAAGCTAGAATTTCGCGCGCTCAGGGATGGCAAAATGGCCAGTGATAAAGGTGCTTTCTTGAACCACACGTCTTTGACATCTATTTGGTTAAATTGCGACAAATGTCATTGCGGAGATTTACCAATTTAACCAAATAGATATGCTGATGACAGTTGACACAAATCAATATCGATTTGAACTATTGAAAAAAACATTTTAAATTATTTCTAAAATTCATTGCAAATAAACAGAAATAGTTTCTTAATAAAACTCTTGCATACATTTTTACACTAATTTCATTAATGTCAAAGATGTGTGGTTCAAGAAAGCACCTTAATCACTGCCCATTTTGTCATCCCTGAGCGCGCGAAATTCTAGCTTTGCTATTCGAGATGTTTAAACTGTTCCCATTTGAAAACTATTATAGCCTCGACTTTATCGTATTAGAATTTTCGTCTCAAAATGTTACAAAGTACTTGTCATTAAAATATTTATCGCCAGTTTAGGTACACCCTGTATAATGATAAAATTAATTTTCGAAAAAAATTATTTTTTTATGATTATATGGAGGTCGCCGCCATTTTTTTTAAATGGAACCCCCTATTGTTTATTATACTATCTTATTCTACTAATTAATATGAACAACTTTTGTCTGAAACATTTTTTATTTGCCTAATACTTTTTGAGATATTCAAGAGAAAATTTATAACTTTATCAATGGATGGTACAATACACAAAAATTTTCCATAATTGGAGCACTATTGCAACAGCATATTTCTGAGACCAAATCAGGTAAAAAAGTCCTGTACTACTTTTCCCTCTGACAAACAGTTATCGAGATATCATAAGCTAAACATTTATAAAGTTATAAATTTTCTCTTGAATATCTCAAAAAGTATTAGGCAAATAAAAAAATGTTTCAGACAAAAGTTGTTCATATTAATTAATAGAATAAGATAATATAATAAACAATAGGGGGTTCCATAAAAAAATGGCGGCGACCTCCATATAATCATAAAAAATTTATTTTTTTCGAAAATTAATTTTACCATTATAAGCCCTTTTAAAACCGTACAACTTTTGTCTGAAACATTTTTCTGTAAAACTTATATTTTTTGAGATTTTTCAGGGTTTCCATACTTTTTCTTCACCCTGTATATATAAATATAATACCTGACGAAAGATCGACCATTTGGATATTTGGAGACAATCTTGTCGATCTCTTTTTGCAAGCCAACGGGAGTCAAGCAACGTCTTTCTGCATCTGTTGTTGTTATAACATTTCTATCCTTTACTTGGACTTTGAGTTGCTTATTCGGGAGATCGTCGTAACTTCTTTCCCACTCGACAATATCCCAGCCCTTAGCGTGCAATATGGTCTCGACTAGCAGCATGTCGCTCAACGCGTCACCGACCGTTTCATTTATCAAATCTATTACATCCCTCAATTTTGTAGAGGCCACTCTTTGTGCCGCCGAAAGCCTTTCGTTCTCGGCATGCTGCTTAATGGTTTCCTTAACGATATCCTTGAAGATAACAGTGCCATGTCCATTTGCCTCGAAGTAGATTCCAATGTCAAATTCCAGTGCCCTCTTGTGCAAATGTTTTACGCCAGTCGGTACGCATGCCACCGGGACTCTCAATACATTTGAAATATAATTGGTTGAGCCACCATTGGCGTATGCAGTTTGCACCAAGCCTAATTGTAAAGGTAAGCCACTTGTTTCCAATAGTTCCTTAAAGTATGCGGCCACCAGTGTCGCTATTCGATCTCCGTCCAAGAGACGAAACTTGTTATTCTTGTCTATGTAGAAATATACCACTCTATCGGCGTCCCCATCTATGCTGGCGCATCTGATATTTGTCTCGAATGGGATACTCAAAGGCAGTGTCTGTTGTACTTTAACGTAATCTGCGCCGCACATATAATTCAAGCCCCTGCTTCCGTCGTTAAATAGCTTGATATCTAGCACACCCACCAAGTATCTCTGAAACTCCTTCGCCGCGATAGCACCAACGCCATTCGCCGCATCTAACTGCAATGCGTTCGTGTACTTTCTGTTATTTGTCTCGGTACCTCGTATGCTTTTGAACACGGCAGCCAGTTTTGAATAGTAGCCCTGCAATGTAGGATTGCCGTAGGTACCATTAGTGTTGGTGCACACCACGACGTAATGTAATTGCGGAGTAGTAACCAATCCTAAATCCATAACGTTTCCATGTAAAGCTCTGATCCCCGCTAGCGCAGCGTTTAACAGGCTAGGACCACTTTGGCGAGTATCCCTTCCTATTATCACTGTGGCCGGTACCAACAAGTCGATATTTTCCCTTGTGGATATAAGGGTCAACATTGATATCACTTCACAGTCCTGCACATTTGCTAAATCAGTCGCTATCGTTTCCCAAGAAGTCTCGAGCATTTCACCAGCTGGATCGACGAGCTTGATACCATTATCAGGTTCTAAGTTGTGACTTGCGGTAATCATTAGACCTACAGCAGCTGTAAAATATTTATTCATAAATTAAAAAAAAATTGTAACTGTGAGACTTTCGATATTGAAACTATATTAATAGGAGAAAAGTGTCGAGAGTCAAACGCAGGTCTTACAATTAGTGAGTATTAATTGTTTCTTAAACAAAAAAGACTTGAAGCTTCAGTATTAGGTCCTATTACACTATGTTCGTCACCTTTTTTTACTTTGGATCGTAATACAGCTAGCAGACCCATTCTGTATAAAACATGCTCCAAAATATCCGACCTATAATTAATTTATGAACAATCATGTCAAATATACAAAACATTCTCTCACATTATATTATATATATTGAAGAATGAAATGAATAAAGAGTTTGATACTAAATTCTCAACGAAAGGTTGTGGTGAGTTGAATAATAAATGTTCTTCAATCAATATGTCGGTTTTGCATGGTGAAATCAACAAGTGTCGACGAGTCCAGAAAAACTTGCGCTTACTTCGTTCTAAAACCAGCGGTGCCGTATTCGATATGTCTATCATGTTTCCGATTATACTTAACGCTCACGACATCTCGAAAGTAATTCGATACCATTGTATGTTGACACACTTCGACAGGTAACAAGATTGACGTAATTGGAGTAACAGCTCCACGTAGGTTGTAATCGGTTGTATACCGCCATATGGCTTCTTCTTTGTCTTGTTCTTGGCTCTCGGCTCTCAGTCTCTCACTGAGCCGACCATAGACATAATATATCTAGACTGAGCATTGAGCATTATTATTACTGGGGAGCGATCGCGTGCACGATCGAATTCGATCGGTCGACTTCTCATACGTCTCTACTCTACAGGTTTCATGGTTCATGCTTATTTATTATAGGATAGTTTCCCTCAGACCATAGATTGATCATGTACGAAGAGTGATATCGGATGGCATATTCCTTCTCGAATTCGAATTCGATCGGTGCACGTAGAGAGCCTCTAGGAGAGAGAGGCGCCAACTCGTCACGTGACCAGCCCTTCCGCGATTGGCTGGCAGAACTTGTACAGAGATTTCTATTGCGACGCCAATGCATAACAGGGCCGCGTTCAGAAACACCACCCGAGTGCTCCAGTATATCATTCTATCCTTGTTTAACATACGGTGAGTAACAAGGATAGAACGATACGCTGGGGTACTCA